GTGAGGCAACTCAAACTTTGTCACCAAATCCTTCACAGCATCACCATGGACCAACCAAAATCCACCGATTGGCGTCCATACGATATCCGGGATCGCGCACCTTACGCCTGGCTTGCGCACATTTAATCATCAACTTCACTGTCCGAAGCTGATTTTCCACTTCTCTAGCTGAGTCCTGGTGCAAAGTCCAGGTGTTTGGGGTTGAGGATTTGTCGGCCCTCAAACGGCAATCTGAAGCAGAAAATGATGATAAACCAATGGATACAAGGGAACCCTATTTTCAAACAAACCCATATGTAGAACTGTTCAAAAAACCTAGAACTTTCAGCACTAAAATTGGAGAATCGAAGATGTTTGAAGCCCAACTAGGTGGGTGATGGCGACATTAGCAATGCTCCAAGTGGAACTTCAAGATTTCAAGACTCCGAAATCTGAGATTTTTTTTCACCGAATCATGGCTTTACCCACCTTATTTTCTGGGATTCGGTGTAGACTCCTCAATGGTTTTTCATGTTTTTTGCCATCTTCTATTCGGCCTACCCCCCGGAAAGTCCAGCTGATCTGGATCACCTTCGATCTGATTCTGACCTCGGATTTCCCCGAAGCTAGCGGAAAGTAAAAAGACCAACCTCTTGGAATTGGATTTTGCCGGGTGCCCAAAATCTGTCAACAACATCAGCACATTTGGTGCAACAAAAAAATACGAGCTACCGACTTGGCCGGCAGTAAGTGCTAAAGAGGCTGCGCACAAATAGCACGAATGAGCGCAATGAACGGCCAATACCCACAATTTCATTTATATATATATATAATATATATATTATAGCTTCTCAGAACTTCCCCAACAATTTCACTCCTCCATATAGGTTTGTCTGAAAAAAACAATTAGATAAAACCCCCCCCATCCACTGGTTACCATAATTTTCTCTATTAGAATGATTTGGATATGCGCCATGGTCAAAACATGGTAGATAGGCTATGGTCATCTATTGTGTAGTGCGATAGATGGGCTATGGTCATCTATCCCATAATTGGAATCGTTGTAATGGGTATACAAATCCCTGTTGATGAATTGATGGCCATCCACATGGATATACAATCCAACTTTTGACGCGCATCATGCGGATAAATCCACGCTCACAGCTGTCCCAGGCTCAGGTGGCGGGTACAGGTGAATAAACGTGAAGATAATTCGAAACTACTACAAACCATGCAGTAATTATGCGCCACCGTTTCGACGTGCACGAGCTCGCTTCATGAAATTCTGATTCAAGAGCCATCTCTCATGTGCAGTCTTCTGTGCAAGTGCGGAAAAACGATGGAAATCTCCAGGTTCTTCACTACTAATGGTCGCTTCAAGGCCAACGATCCATTGAGTCTCTGATAGTAAGACCAAACATAGTCCAGGGCTTCTTTCTGCTTCGGGATTTTGGGTCGGCACGGCATAACAGCGACGGGAGTCTTGAGACCGAGCCTAGACATGGAATAGCACTTTGAGGTAGAAAAGTTCGGCAGCAAATCGTACTCCAGAATGATAACACGGTCTGACGGAGATGTGTCAGCACGCTTAGCGTCAGGGAGCAAAAGAGCATCGGGATGGTCGTAGGCCAAATACGTAGTCTTTGCACCTGTTCCACCAGTTCTGATTGGACACTCCCAACCAGTTGAAAGATAAAAACTTGTCAGAACTTCGAACCAGGAAATACCCCAATCACCTTTGTCCTGTGCATCATAGTCGGAAGTGACATCTTGTGGCAATTTGAGACTGTCACAGAAATCTTGAAAGTTTTAGCAATGTCGGCACCTTGTAGACACATGTGGAAAACCTCATCCTCACATTGAACGCCTGGTCTGGTGACATAGTCAGGAGGATGAAATTTCAGCATTTCATCAAGCGCCTCTTGTCCCATGGCATGTGAGTCAAAGAGCCGAAAATCTCTGTGTGCTTCTTGTCGAGGCCGAATCAACGTGGAGACAGGTCTATCCTTAAGTGCATCAATCAGCTGACCTCTTTTCACGTTAAGATCCACGAGATAATGACAATGATCGCGCAGAGTCATCTTCTCATTTTCGACATGTTTAACAAGTTCATTCACCAGCATCTGGATTTCACGCGGTACCAAAGTGTTTGCTGCTTCGGCGGCCAAATCAGCGCAATGGTTACCAGCAATTGTCCAGAGATCACCTCGATCTGTTGCAGGTTCAAACTTCCGATGGCTTTTGACCTTGATGACTTTGAACTTGTCCTTATGCCACATTGTAGCCAGCTTGAAAATCAGCTCACTGTTCGTCAGCTTATGAAGAATCGGCATGACCAAACCCAATTCAATAAGCCTGATAATTTTGCACACATATGAGGCATCAGTGACGAATTCGACACACGGAATCGGGTCAAGTAAATTGGCTTTCATGGCAGCGATGACCACAGCAAAAAGTTCAGCATGCGCAACCATCTGTTCACCGGTACAATTCCATTCTGAGATACCTGGAACAACGGATATCTCAGCTCTTTAAGAAAAATGAAATCCAAAACTTCTTTTTGTTGATCACATGATGCGGAAATGTCTTCTACAACCGACCATGTGGCGATACTGGCCATGGGGACATCTGAGATGTTTGGATCCTCCATCAGCAAAAAACCAGAGGAAAGCAGCAGAACTATTTTTGGGAGCTGAGACTTCCGGCATTCTGATTGCGCGAAGGAAGGCACGCAGGATCACAATGTTCTCACATGTTCGTGGTATGGGTAGATAAACCCATTCTCGTCTCTGGTGGGTCAAGACATTGCACGCATCTTGTGTTGTGCGCGTATCATCTCAAGATGTGAACACTGCAGAAGGCGATGCTCCCTTGTGTCAATACCATCGCAAAAGTCCACAAGATTCAGGACAGTCAGGATCCCATTTCGATTTTTGACTCTGCGTCTGGAATGCCCCTGTCACGTTGAGTCCAAGAATATTTTGCTCACTTTCGGCAAGTTTGGAGAAAACCGAGTGAAAAAGCTGGACATCAGGCAGAAAATCACGAACACCTGTTCTGTCAAGCAGCGTAAGGATAATGGTTCTACATGAACCTCACTGTTTCGGAAATATACTTGCAAGAATCACTCAATAGATTGCACTGAAGATAATCAGGGCCATCGAGTGTTCCATCCACATCGAGAGACCACCCGGTCTGACTTAAATAATTTTTCACAGTGGTCGCAGGTCCAAAAGGTTTTGTACCCACCAACTCAACTGCGGTTTTGACTGTATCCTTGGCCAACTGGGGCATAATAGTCGCAATCCTTCTCAATACGCGGAAACACTGCAACAATGTATGCAAAAAGGGGTCAAGTAAAAATTTTGAAAGGAAGCTGCGGCCGATGACATTTGAGGCATCGTGCCATTTGCCAAGTTGTATCAATACTGTACAAAGCTAATGGCCAGACAGCGGATTGAATCAATTTCGCTTTGACGGCTAAACTGACAGGAATCCATGCAAGCCTCTGAAGTCTACTAATGGCCACATCAATCTTGTCACGAATGAAGCCAAGAGACACACTTTTGTTGTATCAGACTACCTCACCAAGGTCTTTGACAACAGACTTGACATGGGGTTCAGACTCACTGCCAGGAATCCCAATAGTCTTGAACAAATCCCTGTGGGTTTTTTTGCTTGACCAGTGCCAGCTTTTGGAATGATCAATGGTGAGTTTCATGGAATCGGTTAATCGAAGAGTTCTCTGATAGGCCATCACATGCTCTCTTCGTTCCGTGACTATCCAGCTCCAAGTGTCGGCGTATGCAAAGGGTCTGACACGTTCACTTTTGAGGAAAGCATGAAACAGACAAGAAGTGGCCAACACCGCAAGGACACTAATTGAGCAACCTTCAGGGACTCCCGTGACCTTGAATCGTGGGATACCGTACCAACTTATCAAGATTTGAAACCCAAGCATCAACAACGTATCTTCCAAAGGTGTTGTACGCTTTGATCAGATCAAGTGCAAAGCCTGCAATGCCACTGCCGGATGCGAGGGACTCTTCAATTGCACATTTCTGCGCACAGGCAAGTTCTTTCACTCCTCTCCCAGGGAGGCCTCCAGAAATGTCATAAGGAAAGAAATCCTTCCAAATGTTGGCAGTTACCTTTGAAAATGAATTTTCCAAAAAGCCTGTACAACGAGCTCAAAATGGTAATCGGTCTGGCGTGGTGCACCGAAAGCGGGACAGGATTTTTGACAAATGAATTGTCTTCGCCACCATCATACCGAGTCCAAAACCATAATTCATAACCGCAACAAAAATCTTCACCAGGTCACGAATGCAGAATTCAGGTCAGGCTTTCAACTCATCGTTTGACCATCCACAAAGACCAACAGCTTTGGCAGAGGGCAAAGATTTGACCAAATGCATCCAAAGGTTAATATCGTCAATAGGATAGGCGATTTCTGGAATCACTGGAAGATCAACATCCTGCAGCAATTCATCAAACGATTCCCATGATGTCAGTTCAAATCGTTCAGCACGAATGTCACGCAACCACATCTTTGACCAAAACTGTTCAAATTCACAGCCAATTTCCTTGGGTGTGATAGCGGTGTAATCGACATGCAAAGTACCTCTCGCAGGCAAAAAACAATCAAGAAGCTTGAAATAGAGTTCGCAGCCATCCTGACTTTGAAAGAGAATTCTTGCCTCACCAAATTTCAGTGCAGCGAATGTTGGGATATCTTTGCGCATGTCCATCTTGAGAGAAATGGACGGATCAACAAGTGCATCCCAAATCCATACATGCCACAGCTTGATTTTGCATCTCACTGCTGGATCGTTTCCTGCGACCGTCCATGTTCGAATCTTCAGGAAGAAGTGGATTGCCAGGCAGTACACAAGGCCTTCTGACCACAAGATACCTGTTGACGTCATTATCAACGACAGCTTGATCACGATCATCCATCCTAAGGCTTGAATGACATCGATCAAAGCAGTACCTTGCAGAAAATCTGAGATGCCTTTCAACACTGTCCAGCTCAATGAAGAGGAAATCCCACTGTCATCCACGTGAAAATTCAAGACTTCCAGAATCTCAAGATCATCCGGAGCGGATTCATAATCCATGGCAATGACAGCATCCGGACAAATCATCAATCTGGATGTTTCTCCCCAAAAATGCCAACCAGGTGCGTACATTGAATTTCGCGGTTGTGATCAATCACAGTCTTGACATCTTCAATGGTCATACCATGATCACGCCTGAGCACAAATGGACCTTGTCTTGTGAGGACAATGATGCACTGAGCTTTGTTCTGAGTCACTGAGAAGGCATTCGAGGTCACATTCAAAGCCGAAAAGCTGGATTTCATGGTCTGTCACTTCCAACCTCTGTTGCAGCGTGATTCTGGCATCAAGGTTTCCACCAGGAAGCATGGACATCTGTTGGCATCGAAATACCCAGCAAAGCCTTCAGTGCATCTTGGACATTGACATCACGCTCTGCATGGAAGATAGCTACATCCATTGGAGATCGAATGACAACTTTCTGGACCGAGTGAATCATCAGGGTCGGTGTAATTTCTTCATGAATGTCACACGAAAAGCCACCCCATTTTCTTTCCCATCGGATGTTCTGGGATGTCATTCTCTTGGAGAGTGCCCACATCTGAAGTTCTTGCACTTCTACACGTGACAAATCATACAAGAGGGCCAGCGCGAGCGTCAAACCCACCGTCGCGTGAGGGGTAGCGATTGAGTTTCCAAGCATTTTGATGCAAGCACGATGGTTGTCTGGCAACCAGCAGGGCATGAGAGTCGTCTGCAACATGAGAATCTCAGGAACACTCAGAAATCGAAGGCCAGATGGAAGAGCGATCAACGTTCCTAAAGACCTGCCTTACAGAGCGAAGCATCAGGCAACAAGTGACGGTACGCATACTTCCCCATAATACATCCGAAGGTGGTATGGGGATGCTTGACGCGATATTCTTCGATGTCTTTCCTGGCTCTCTTGACATCTCTGCCACGCTGCTCTACCGGCTTTGGCAGCATAGCCGGATCCATGTAGACTTGCAAAACCTCTGGGGCCAGAGTACACTGAGACAGCCAAGGTTCTTCCAGCTCCATGATGCTCAAGTAAGACTCCATGGTCTGACGCTGTGTGACAGGCCAAGGGACACAAATGTGTGGCATCAATTCTGCATGGTCAAGTGTAGCAACAAGGATGAGTCTGCTGCGCTGCTGTGGAGAAAGCTCTGCAAGGTTCATGGTTCGTGCCCAACGAATGGAACAGCCACGCCACAAGATGAAAGAGCGAATGATTTTCCAATGCTGGTGTTCGCGCGTTCCAGAGACCATTTCCATCACCACGACATGGGGCTTCAGGATGCTCAAGAGCCCCCAGGCATGCAATGTGAGGCGGCCATCAGCTCCATCAATCCAGGGAAATTGGAAGCATAGCTCCATGGTGGGCATGGAGGTGAAATGACAGCTATGTCAAACATGTGATTGGAGAACAAATGGGTCCAAGCATGTTCAGACTTGAGGCCGGGGGTGGATGACGAAAGCTAGCGGGGTAGGAGAAAGAAGGAAGGGAAGAGGTGAGTTGCGGAGGGACTGTCATCATCGTGTCGCGGCATTGTTCGTCCCAACGAGGATGCAACAATGATATATTGATATATGATATATAACAATGATATATATGGGGGAGGGGGCAGGGGGGGGCCCTTTCGCGGGAAAAATCACGTGATGTCCTTGGGGAGCCCCGGAATACGTGCTAAAGCAAGAAGACTCTAGCGAGCTGACGCTAGCTTTCGTGATAATGACAATAATTGCCAATAATAATAAAATGTAATTGAATAACGATGATGATGATGATGATGACGATGATGATGATGATGATTATGATGATGAATGATGAATGATGAATGATGAATGATGAATGATGAATGATGAATGATGAATGATGAATGATGATGATGATGATGATGATGATGATGATGATGACGAGGACGCGGACGAGGACGAGGACGATGGAGAGGACGATGACGATGATGATGACGATGATGATGATGATGACGATGATGATGACGATGACGATGACGATGACGAGGACGATGACGAGGACGACGATGATGGTGATGATGATGATGATGATGACGACGAGGACGCGGACGAGGACGAGGACGATGGAGAGGACGATGACGATGATGATGACGATGATGATGACGATGATGATGACGATGATGATGACAATGATGATGATGATGATGATGATGATGATGATGATGGTGGTGATGGTGGTGGTGGTGGTGGTGGTGGAGGGGGGGGGGGGCCCTTTCGCGTGAAAAATCACGTGATGTCCTTGAGCAGCCCCCCCAATACTTGCTAAAGCAAGAAGACTCCAGCTAGTTGACGCTAGCTTTCGTGAAATGTCTCCATTCACCACCAAGCTCCTTGGCAACGAATCATGATCCCAGACAAAACTTTCGGGACCTATGATGTGTTCAATCCCATGCGCCTTGCAAAAGGTTTCACAGCAATCCCTTTCCACGTCCAGAGCCAGCCTGTGTGCAAACGGATATCCAAGCCTTGACAGTCTTCTCATCGCCTGTGTCCATCCACTGCACCCACCTGCAAAAAGCTCACATGCCAAAACAGGGGAGTCATCACCTCCACTCACACGCGCTATAAGAAGCATCTGTTGTGTCCAGAATCCCGGCCCTACGACCATAAATTGGCTAGATTTGCATGCCACATGTTCCAATTGATCTGGCGTGATGCAGATCCGTACATGTTTGTCAATATCATGAGGGCCTTTCAACGGAACCAGCGGTTTTCCAGCAAAAGCATCCATGCTGAATGGTCCATCTTGGCGAATTTCACCCTTCAACATTATCCAGTTGTGGGACATCTGAAGGACTTCTCGGTGAACAATCTCACAAGTATGGCGGCTTTCACATGGACACACATTTTTTGACAAAGCATAGTGTTTGGCCAAACTAATGGCATGACTCATCGCATCATTGAGAAACTCCATGGCGCAAGTTAGCCTAGGGATTCGTGTCAATCCCCAAAACCAGCATTGCCGCGGGGAGGTCTGGGCCAAAATGCTATCCAACTTTTGACCATCAAACATATGGCAAACCCGCTGACAAGACAAACTTCTGTCTCCGGGCGGCACATCTCAAGCATGGCCCGAAAGTGGCCCAATACGGCCAACTGGTTCGGGACATTGTCCAGCGAGAAGGTACAACCTGGGCCCAGGGGATCGACCTTGGTCATTTTTATGGGGAAACCTATGGGGAAACCCATTGGGGAAAGTTCCAAATGTCAAGAAACCCACGTGCTCTGATCCCATTCCACGGTGTGTAAGTGATGTTGAAGGTCATATTAGAGTAGGGACCGGGAAGAAATGGGTGACAAGGATTGATAGCAGGATCTTGGCCGAAGTTCCACAGGGAACCACTTTGAATCCCAGGGTACCAGGGAACACCACTTCTGCGTCAAAAAAGAAATGGGAAGTGTACCACTTTCGGCGCAAAAAGGGGACGAGAAATTTTCAGCCAGTCACATCGTTCCAAAAACATCCCGGCCTGCAGACAAACCAAAAGCGTTGATCTGCATCGCGGCATCCATGAACTCATCATCCATAGCCTCAAAACAAAATAAACAAAGGACCAAAAACGAGGATGGTGTCATGGTGGCACTGAGTTTTTTGGAGTTCCTACAGTACTGAAATTGCCATTGAGAAAATCCGGGGTCTTCTCCATCCCAAGGCAGGTGTTTCCACACCCACACATGCTCGTTCTTTAGCAGCCTAGGGTCCCAAGTAACATCTTTGTGTTGGAAATCGAACGCCTGGAAAGCGATACCTTAAATAACAGAGTGAGTAGAGTCACGTCAAACAGACTACGAGAAAAAATGGCTATTCAGGGAAAACCGAATGTCAAAGGAGAACAAATCGGTCCGACTGCTAGTAGCTGAATCAGAAGGTGAAAATCAGGTTGGCTTCGTGCCTGGGAATGGATTTGAGTGTTGAGCTCAGGTTTCCAGTTGTGGACTCCAAAATGTTTCTCCAAAAACTGCCAGCCATCCCCGATAGAACCCCGGCCCGGCCCTGGGATTGCAGACTCTATCGCCAGCACAGCGATTGCGTCCCCAACACAGCTGCAGTCGTGCAGCTCCGAGCCAGCAAAAACTGCGGCAGCCGATGCATCAAAGTTCCAGCGCCATCTCTGTTGAAACCCCGATCCAAAGGATACACAATTGGTTCTTGATTTTGGAAGCGCAAAAATCGAAATAAATCGATGAATCTGGCATTCTGTTAGTCTTTGATAGTCTTTGGACTATGGATGCAAAAGTCCTCTGCCTCTTTTTCCTGCTCCATCCAACCCCCATGGCCCCCTGGGTGGCGCACCCCACCACTAAAGGAGCCAGCCTTGCTGCCCTCGGTGGCATGAGGTCAATCCACAATACTCCGCCGAGCACCATTTAACTCCTTTCAAGGGCCCTGTCATATGAAAAAAATCAACACTTACCTATGGGCATTCCATGGGATTCCTGTTGCCCTTTCTTTTTGCCAAACCAGGAACCTTCATACAGTATATAAATTCCTGGTTCGTGGGACATCTGGTAGTCACATCTGCAGTGTCAGGTCGATCACCCATAAACAGGAAAGGAGAGCACGTGAGCACGTCAAATCAGGAGTGACCACAATCACGGACAAACTCAGCGTGACAATGACTGACTGTCATCTGATGAAATGAGCAGCTGAGATGTAGAAAATAGAATCCTCAAGAGGGAACTGTCGAACTATCAAAATTAAATCACAACGAAAAGGTGGCAGGTAAGAAGGGCTAGACTGAAGAAAGGCAACATCGTCATGATGATACTGACTGATTGTTGGATTTGACAACAAAACCATCATCACTGACATCGCTGTCATTGTTACTACAGAAAGGGAACACGAGTATGTATGTAGATTAATGACAGCTAAATATACATATATAAGAATATTGTAAGTAGTAATGAGATCACAGAAATATACAGTTTCCCAAAATACTAATACTATTGTACTATATAATACTATATAATACTATATAATACTATATAATACTATATAATACTATATAATACTGTATAATACTGTATAATACTATATAATACTATATAATACTATATAATACTACATAATACTATATAATACTATATAATACTATATAATACTATATAATACTATACAATACTATATAATACTATACAATATTATACAATACTATATATATAATACTATATAATACTATATAATACTATATAATACTGTATAATACTATATAATACTATATAATACTATATAATACTACATAATACTACATAATACTATATAATACTATATAATACTATATAATACTATATAATACTATATAATACTATATTATATAATACTATATAATACTATATAATACTATACAATACTATACAATACTATACAATACTCTACAATACTATATAATACTATATAATACTATATAATACTATATAATACTACATAATACTATATAATACTATATAATACTATATAATACTATACAATACTATATAATACTATACAATATTATACAATACTATATAATACTATATAATACTATATAATACTATATAATACTATATAATACTGTATAATACTATATAATACTATATAATACTATATAATACTATATAATACTATATAATACTATATAACCCTCATCATTTTTCTATGTGGAAGATCTTTCTCGATTCCGAGCGTCTGCGCAAATATCGGCGTAGCCGCTGGAGACCCCCGAGTGGCCAGAGACGGTCTTTTCACCTGTCCCAGTCCCATCATTGCACCATAGTTGGTGATTATAAGAGGAGCTATCCCAACCATGACAAATAGAGATTATTATCTGTATCCATCATTTATCCGTATATATTTATCTAGAATAATTGAATAAGCCCTATTATATCTCCATTTCGCCATCACTTTACCACAATTTATCTTGGTTGACTCACCATAGTGTTGATTACATTCCCATGAATATTTCATCTACATCCCATTCTATCATATGTTGATATGCCATAATCGGGTTGATATCTCATTATTCCCTTTATGTATCCATTTGATTTATCATGATATTCCATTCACATTCCATATTCTTAAAATGGGGATACTGTACCAAATCATCCAAGTCACGAATATTGAAACCCATAGCCTGGGACCCCAACCCCCGGGCACTCGCGCCTTTCTTGCCATTCCACATCCCCGAAATGGCGGAGCCGGCCCCACCCACTACCAGGCCAGCAGCGTCCTGGTGAACAAGTTCGCGAAACATCATTTCGCATGACTTCACCATCAAAAAACAAGATTTCAACAGCAAACAGCAAACATCTGTGAAAAGTGGCAATTTACCCTGCAAAAGTGGTGATTTACTCGGAACATGTGAGGATTGAAAGCATCAAAAGTTAGGTTTTGACCATCAAACAATGGGAGTTCATCTTATTGAACAGTGACAATACCTTAATCAAACCCGGCTGGAAAAACATGTTTTCTTGATATGGAAATCATGAACACAAGAGGATTGAGGAAGAATGGTGGATTTTCCGGCTGACCGAGGTGATATTACTCAGGGTATCCAAAAATGATGGTGACTGAAGGACAAAAACGACACAAAGATTGAAAATTCACCAGCGAAAATGCAGATTTCCACCACCAAATCCAGGAGGGTGAAATTCTCAGATCTGCTGGCTTTATCCCACTGGCTTTATCCCCCATCACCATGAAATGGTGCTGCTTTCTTTCTCTTGCTATTTATATCTATTTATATCTATTTATATCTATTTATATCTATTTATATCTATTTATATCTATTTATATCTATTTATATCTATTTATATCTATTTATATCTATTTATATCTATTTATATCTATTTATATCTATTTATATCTATTTATATCTATTTATATCTATTTATATCTATTTATATCTATTTATATCTATTTATATCTATTTATATCTATTTATATCTATTTATATCTATTTATATCTATTTATATCTATTTATATCTATTTATATCTATTTATTAGTGCATCATAACTCATCATAGTTCTACACTCCAAATTTTGCAACATGGGAAATTAAAGCAACCCACCGCTGCAAACTGAAAAATCCACGTTTCTGACGGAGTCTCCGTGTCCAGGTTAGAATGCTGGAGGGTATCGTATTGCGAATGATAAAATACAATCCGCTCAGATTCGCCCGGTCTCAGTCTGTGAAATCCATATGATGTGGTTGATCAATTGTTTTGGAAATGCTCTAATGTGGTAAACCCAATTTAATAGGGGTATACCCAATAATAAATCTTAACTGGGGATGGTTTATGGCATTGGGTTGACCTCACTATTTTGGGTTCACATCCCTGTCCCATGGAACCCCTGGTCAAACCTTCATGTTTGGTGATATAGTTCCAACTTTTTAGGAGCCATACCGACTTGATGATATGCATATGTATACATATATATATATACCATAATTATTATATACATGCCATACATACATATATACATACTATGTGAAAAAAAAAAACATGTATACATAATATATATATACACTCACACATCTACCATATCCCACATCCCCACCTCAACGGCATCGCCCAAGGTGCGCATCATGCCTTGCTCACGGACCGACTTCACCGTGGCCTCCCGAAATCCCGGACTGACTTCACCGGGAAAATCTGGTAAATCCCCATCTTTTGGGGGAAAATTTGGAGAAATACTGTTGGAAAAATCATAGAAATCATAGAAAATCATAGAATATCCCATTTTTGGGAAATATACTATTGGAAATACTATTGGGAAATATACTATTGGAAATATTTTGTAAATTAGTATTGGGAAATATACTATTACTGTTTGGAAAATCCCCATCTTTTGGAAATGATGTTTATTGGAAATACTATTGGGAGTTCCTATGTTCATCAATTGGAATGTTCCCATGGTCAGATGAATTATTGCTGATAAAGATCAGATATTCTATTAATAACACCGTTAAGAACCATGTAGTAAGCCCCAAAAAGATCGAAACGGTAAAATTCGTCACTATTGTCGGCTTGGATGTTACTTAGAAACGTGTTTGGTCGTTGCTATAATCTGGGATAGAATAGCATAATATTGCTGGGATTCAAGGATTCTAATTGGGACATGGGAATATCGTGGCAATTGTATGTCAGAAAGGGTTTCTGCCAGCACCGAAACTGTCAATTGTTTGTGTATATATATATATATCCATTGTTTTTTGGTGTTGTGGGTTTCATGTCTCTTGCCCTGTGAATAAGGCCCCCTTGACTTACAGATTAAAAGAACTGAACAAAACCAACAAAACTAATATGTATATGTATGTGTATATTATACATATATATATATTTATACATATATATATATATATTTATACATATATATATACATATATATATATATACATATATATATACATATATATATATATACATATATATATACATATATATATACATATATCAGAGACTACTTGGGTCAGGGCCATGTTCAGACTAAGACTAGACCCCAAAACATTGGTTTTCTTGTTTGTTTTGTTTTCTCGATGCTTTGGCCATCAGGATTAACTCAGATTAATCCAAATCAATTCTACTTAATCCTGTCCAAATGCACATATTTCATTAGCAATGTCCTTATTAGACGTTTGCTCTTACTAACGAAAACCCAAAAATCTTATGGCTATTCATCACTTAGGGGTCCTGTTTTCAGACGAACCAAGATATCATATTGGTTATTTTTTATATCCCAATTTCATCCCATTACATCCTGAGTGACATCCCTGACCTGGACATCATCTGCAATGACATCAATTGCACCTGCCAATGCCTGGAGATCATGACCAAAAGACATGGAAAATGATAAAGATACCATATCATATGATGCATTGGTAATGTCATGACCAGTTCATGGGGAGATCATGAGTGTAAAATTCTGATCTATAGATTCATCATTTTCGGGCAACTAGGGTCAATCAACATGGTTTCTACCTTGAGATTTTTTTTTGGTTGTCATAAACATCACCCAAGCTGCATTCCTGACTTTGGATGATTGTTGGGGTCCCAACAAAAAATGGACATGGGACATAAGAAAAAAACATGGCCTGGATTCGCTGTCATTTGGAATA